ATTATGGGTTAGGCTGGGCTTGGAAAATATTTTTATAAATTATATTGGGCTGGGCTTGGGGAAAATTTTGCAAAATTATTATGAGCTTGGAAGCTTGAGAATTTTTTTATTATTAATTATAGGTCAGACATTGGCCCAAAACAAATTTTTTTGCAGGCCTGGGCTTGACCTGATCAAAAAACCAAGGCCCATGAAAATCTGAATTTTGATTGTATTTTTAAATTCATTATGATTATTTAAATATTTATTTCAGTTCTTAACTACCAAAATTATTATGATATTTCATTGGGCTAGGAAGAATTTTTCATAATTAATATGGCTTTGAACTTTACCTGGGAATTTTTCTTATTATTAAATATTAGGTATAAGTAATCAGTAATATTTAACAAACAATATTGGTATTATCAAGTAAGTGCTTTAAATTTATTTTTACTCAAACCATAGCACTTAGTTTTAATGGATTATACCTGGCCTGAAGGAATGAGAGGGGGTAGGAAGAATAAAAATTGGATATTATTTTCAAATAACAGGTAACATGCTCATTCCCCGTCTAGTATATATATTTATATAAAGAACTATTTATTCGCCATCTACAAATATAAAAATTATCCTAACTAACATGTTAACAGGATATATCGCTTCATATAAAACTAGCTGGGTTAGAAAGTGTCAAAACCCAAAAAATTTCCACCCTAACGTAGCCTAACCAGCCCTCCCGCTGACCGGACCTAACCCGAAAGGTGTATAGGAAAGAAATCACAAATATTTTATAAAATATATATTTTCGTTCCCTATATTTTTTGATGTTTATGAAAAGCAATAAGTTTTTGATAATTTTTATATGCTTATTCTATTTTTATCCATGTGATTATTCGATCAAGCTCCTAAAAAAGTTAATGGAAGAATAATAAAAAGGAAAATATAAAATTGGGCCACTTTTAACAATGACGTTAGCGGCGGTCTCAGGGCTGACTGGCCAGGGGCACTATCAAAATTGGTTTAAAATTTAAGTAAAGCCATTTTTTGAATTCAGTTTCGAATCAGGTGATTCCATTTTATATCCTCTAAAAAAATATATGTAAGCTTATCAATGATCTTCAAAAAGCAGGCTTAATACATTTCCAATAACCCTTCACGGTAAAACCAAAAATACCCCCCCCCCCCCCCTCACTCCGCCAACACACATTTAGGATAATTTTGGATAAAAGACTATGATTAAATCTTCTCACGTGACTTATAGCAGGTAATTACTAATCTGGAATTTGCAGAAATGATCCCTTAAAATTTTTTTTTTTATAATTTTTAACAACTTCCTACTTTTATACAAAAGAAAATATAATACACAAAAATTTGCAATTTTTTTTTCGTTTTTTTTATATATATATTAGCGTGCTTTTTCTGGCAATTTTATTTTTACAATTTTAAATTCTTTCTTTCTTTCTTTCTTTCTTTCTTTCTTTCTTTCTTTCTTTCTTTCTTTCTTTCTTTCTTTCTTTCTTTCTTTCTTTCTTTCTTTCTTTCTTTCTTTCTTTCTTTCAGGGTATTCCAAACATGACGGCGTACAATTTCCGGTAAAATCAGAAATTTGAAATTTAAAAAAAAAACGCTAACACACTTGCGGAAAATACACATTGGCGCTATATTATATATATTTCCTTATAATAAAGTGGAATATAATTTTTTCCATTCACTTAAGTTACAATACCAGGATTACCCTAAATTACTGGATTAGAGTTGTTAGACTACCTATCTTTAGTCAGCTATAAAACAGCGTAGGCCATAACTTTATCCAGAAATATTCTAATTAAATCTTCAAGTCGAGACTCAAAGTAGAAATCTTTATTCGATCAGATTTAATCTAAAAGCGTGACTAAAGACACAATTGAGATGGTCAAATGTAGGAAATATAACAACACTATCCTCTCGATATTACCCCCTACAACTTAATCTACTTTGATTGTCAAGTGTCATGTCATTTAGACATCTAGGATAATAATAAAAATAATAATCTAATAATTATTTTTAGAAAGGAGAGAAAATTGTTAATCAAAGGAGAAAAAAAAACATATGGTTTATTTATATAAGTATATTCCTATTTTCAATTTTCAATTTTCAATTTTCAATTTTCAATTTTCAATTTTCAATTTTCAATTTTCAATTTTAATGCAAAAAAAAAATTTAAATTTTTTTTTATTAATATAATAGCGATTTGAAAAATGGTTGTGAAGATGATAATCAATTTATTTTATATGTTTATAATGCAGCATAAAATTATTTTCATATAAATAACAATAATAATGGTATTGGTATATAACATACATGTGTTCAATTGTTATCGTAAGTAAAAAAAATGCAATCATTTTTCGAAATTATTTGATATTTTTTCTTAAATATCGTAGAAAATAAATTAGGCGAAAGGTCAAAATTTTAGGCCAGTGGGAGGATTTAACTCTTTCAGGGCCTGGTCATGTTTTTTTTTTTAAAAAAAATTTCCACTTTTTACAAGTTCGGTCCGGTTTAATTTAATAAAATTTTTATTTATTTAATTCCCAAGTTAGGTCTTATTTATTTTTTTATTTTACCCGGCCCAGACTTTTTTTTAAAAATAATTGTTGGATACATGCATATAATACCTAATAGAAGGAAGAAAAGATGTTCCCAATTGGGAACTTCCCGTTACCATATTCCAAATGCTATAAGCAAATCGATTTCGATTAGGGAAAGGAAGGTTTCATTTTGATTTGCGTATCTATATTATGTAATTTGTCCTTTTTTTTAATACCTAGACTGACGACGACGCATTCATAAATAATGCATTTGAAAGCGTCGGTGGAATGCAAATCAGCTGGACCCGCCATTTTGGTTAACCCATAACAGTAATTATTCTCATGTTCATAAATTACTATTTAAATTGATAACTTGCTTCCTTATTTATCTCGACGATCAGAGGCAATTCCTTTAATAAAGTTCGCGTCAGAACATAGGAATAAATTTGGCCTCTCATTTAAAATTTTTTTTCAATAATGATTATGGATAATCAAAATGGCGTCCCCGGCTGTTTTTCATTGATGTAACACTTTTAAATGAAAGCATCGTCAGTCTAGGTATTATTATATGCCAAATGTCATTGCTTTTTTCAAAAAAATTTAAGGTGTTACCCCGAATTAGCCATGTTATCGAAAAATGTTACTCTTTAATTGACACTTTAAATATTTTTTAAAAAATTTGCTATTCGAGTTATGAGTCGGGTCGATTGACGACATTCGCTTAATTACCAACACTATACTAAAAAACCTAAAAATAATCCTCGCTTTCCAATATCTTTTGAAATGGGTATATATTGTTTTTAAAAAAACTAACTTTCTTTCTTTCTTTCTTTCTTTCTTTCTTTCTTTCTTTCTTTCTTTCTTTCTTTCTTTCTTTCTTTCTTTCTTTCTTTCTTTCTTTCTTTCTTTCTTTCTTTCTTTCTTTCTTTCTTTCTTTCTTTCTTTCTTTCTTTCTTTCTTTCTTTCTTTCTTTCTTTCTTTCTTTCTTTCTTTCTTTCTTTCTTTCTTTCTTTCTTTCTTTCTTTCTTTCTTTCTTTCTTTCTTTCTTTCTTTCTTTCTTTCTTTCTTTCTTTCTTTCTTTCTTTCTTTCTTTCTTTCTTTCTTTCTTTATTTATTTATTTATTTATTTATTTATTTATTTATTTATTTCTTTCTTTCTTTATTTATTTCTTTCTTTTTTTCTTAAATTTTATAAATATTTTACCCCCCCCCCCCCCCCCCCCCCAGATATGAATGTTTTAGTATAATTTCCGGTAGAGAGTATTTATTGGGTAATGACTATATTGAACTAACTCGGTTCAATATAAAAGGGCAGAAAAAACAGCTGAGCATCGAGAATTTATTTGGTTCGAGGCTCCGAGAATGTTGTTTTTGGCGCCAAAATACCTATGTGGAAATGTATTGTTGTTCAAAAAGCCTCCAATCAAAATTTTGGACAAATAATAATTATTATCCAAGCCCCTGATTTGGCGCCAAAAAAAGAATCTAACCCTTTCTGCCCATCTTTTTGGTAAAACTCTTGAGGGTTAGGTATTTTATTTGTGCTGATACAGTCCCGTTTATTGGTTAAAAAAAATCGACGCGATCTATGTTTTTTTAACAACACTAGCGGAGAATATTAAAGTAAGCATTTCCTTATATTTCAGTTTAGGCCAAAAAATTCGAATACTCCTAATTTTACCAGGGAACCCGGAAGATTTATGGATCCTGATGTGGACGCTTATATGAGGCGTAATCATATATAGAATCGGAATGTTCTTAGAACCTCTAGATAAAATTTATTTGAGGTCATAGTGTTTTTGCCAGGAGGCACGACACGACCACCAATATCCTTTGTTAGTTGTACAAAATGGGATTGTTAAAAAACTATTACCGACTGAGTCATACTTTAATCAATGACAATAACTTAACTTGGGGACGCCATTTTGATTACCCATATCATTATTAAAAAATTCTAAACGAGAGGCCAAATTTATTCCTGTGTTCTGACGCGAACTTTATTAAAGGAATTGCCTCATCATCGAGATAATAAGGAAGCAATTTTAACATGAGAATAATTACTGTACGGGTTTGCCAAAAATGGCGGGTCCAGCTGATTTGCGTTCAGCCGACCCTTTCAAATGTATTATTTATGAACGCGTCGTCAGTCTAGGAATTATTAACTGTCATTGAGTTTCTTGGATATTAGAAAAATCATATTTTGGAAATCTTGGAGGCTCTAGTTTATAATATTAAACAAAATATTTTTTAAAAAAAAACAAAATATTTTTAAAAAAAAACAAAATATTTAAAAAAAAAACAAAAATATTTAAAAAAAAAACAAAATATTTTAAAAAAAAAACAAAATATTAAAAAAAAACAAAATATTTTAAAAAAAAACAAAATATTTAAAAAAAAAACAAAATAACAAATGAAATCAATAGTTTTGTTTAAAAAAATTTTTTTTTTTTTTACCATTATCCAAATTGAAGTCGCCCGATAAAACGGTATTTTTGTATGGTTCGGGGTGTTTGTTGTCGAGATGTCCATTACAATTATAGTATTTGTTAAGATAGTAGGGTCTCGACGATTCTAGCAACGAATGGCTACCATTTCCGCCTAATATATCGTCGCAGGAAGAGCGTAAATTGTTTAGCGCAGGCGGATTCCTGAAAATATAACGCGAACGATTAAATAGGTTTTTCATAATTGATTATATACTTTTTTTAACCAATTAATTAAGAATTCCTACAATTTATTATGGAAAATAGGTTTGGTGCGAGCTCTCTATAACAGGAAGATGGGAGGGGGGCAAAATGAAAGTGGATACCCTCTTATTTAACATACGTGGTCTCGCGTTTCGGCGCTCAATAAAAAGCTGACCCCCCCCCCCCCCCCCTCGAGTTAACGATCAGCTGGTTAGATGCGATTTTTACGCTTTCGAGGACTAACCTTGCAACCTGATTGGACGTACAAAAGGGGAAAATAGGTATAGAGGGGATACGCGATACAATGATCTCATTTGGTTTTCTTTGTTTAAAAAAATGAAATTAATATTTTCTATTTTCCTTTGGGGTATTTTTTTTTTGTTGTTGTGCGCAATAGATTTCGATAAAGATATATTTCTTATATCTAATCAAGAAAAGTGAAGAGTTTAAAAAAAAAAATGTCCGCTAATCAATAATAGAAAGAGTCGGCCATTTTAACGATAAATTTTTTAATAAAAATAAAAAAATTGTTTCGTAAGGGCAGTTTTTTAATTTTGTAAGACAAATAATCGAATAATAATCATCAGAAATCAGAACTTTTAATTATCAATATTTCCCCGCGAAATCTCAAAATAACTCTGAAGAGTCGACACTAGACTACTCCCCAGTTCTTAGAAGATAAATGCTTCAACATTTTTTATTTTGTCAAGAAACTGAAACGGTGGGGGGGGGGGAAGAGTTTTCTCTAAAATTCTGAAGGAATGCAAGCTCTCGATTGAGGAGGTCCCTCCCTAGTGGAGGCCAAGTTCTATAAACATTTGATTTTTTTTAAAAAAAATCGCTGTTCAATCAATCCCTATCTGCGAAAATAAAATGGTAGCAGAAGCGGTTTTTATCGGTGAATCTTCTAACTACAGAAAAATAACAAAAAAAAACAGGGAAATGACGTTTGTTCTTATTTTATATTAAAAGTATTATACCAAGTTTGTATGTATTCATCGTTGAAGGATTTGGACATGATGTTGTTAGACCCCATTCCGTTTGGCACCAAGAGGGGATCATTGTTGGGTTCGTAAGGCCAAACATCGTAGACGGATTGAGTCATGTCAAACTTGGCGTTTTTATTCTTGAACCGGTGGTCATCCGATTTCGAGGATTTCCCGTACTCTCTGCCGCCAAAATTTTCCGAATCCGACATAATACGACCAATATTTCCGTTGGAAATTTTGCCGAAATCACCCCGCGCTTATTTATATTAAAGAAATAATTTTTTGTATAAAAATATATTATTCCCATATCTTCAATATTCAAAAATTAATTTAAGATTCAGGGAAAGAAAACTCCAAAGATGCTAAGATTAAAATATGAAATTTTTTTAAAAAAAAACAGACTTATCGATTCTTAGAAGAGATTGAAGCAGAATTGCCTGAACTCCTCTTCCCAACCAGTTACAACTGAAACCCTCTCGTTTTCTCTGACTTCGAAAATGTTTAGTAATAAAGATTCTTCCATTCCTTAGCGGGTGAGAACAATCAAACAGGGTAGTTCATACCGCTCCAAAAAACCAAATAAAAATAGTCAACTGCGTTTCATATGATATTGTAGAAAATCAAATGGAAATCTAGTTATTTTGTTGATAAATTATGGTTGACAAAATAACTAGTAGACCTTATTTTTAGTTTCTAAAGGCGACCTGAAACGCAGCTGACTTTTTTTTTGACTTGTGGAGTGGTCTGAACCCCAAAACTTTTGACATGCTCTTAGATGCGAATTACAGAATATACGGCGCCAAAAAAAAAAATAAGGGCCCCCAAAAATGAATGAAGCCTTTTATTATAACCTTGATGATTTCCGCCATAACAATTTTCGTTGGCGTCGACGTAGCTTGTATTGTTCGGCTCAGCGTATAGCGGATTACCGTTGAGGTTTTTGAAATTCTCGAGTTCAGATTTCTAGGGAAGTAAAAAAATTTATAATTTTTTTTTTTATAAACTTCTGCTAATACCAATCGATGACGTAGTATTTAGCTTTTTTTTTTATAGTAGTACAGTCAGTACCTTTCATCGGAATCAACCAATGGGAGGAGAGAAGGGGAGCGGGAAATTCTCCCTTTAAATAAAAAAATTTGCCACATTGTTTGAATTTAATATAAAATTTTATTTCCTCCAAACATTTCCTAACGCCTACAAGAGAGATTATCCAAAAAAAACAATGGCGGAAAAAAACCACCAAAATGTCTGCTCCCCCCCCCCCCCCCTTTCGAAAATCCTAGATAAATCAATGGTGTATTTTAGTGTTTCTTTCTAAATATTTTATAAAAATCTATACATGTCACAATGTTCTTTCTTTCTTTCTTTCTTTCTTTCTTTCTTTCTTTCTTTCTTTCTTTCTTTCTTTCTTTCTTTCTTTCTTTCTTTCTTTCTTTCTTTCTTTCTTTCTTTCCATGGGGAATTATTAGAATTTCTCAATTTTGAATCATTAACCAAAATGGAAAAAAAGACTTGTTTGAGGGTAGCGGAAAAAAACTGCGGTTGGACCAAAAGGACCGCTGAGATAAAAGAGACGCGGTGGCAGAACCTTGATAGCCAAAGGTAATTGATGAAGAAAAAGAGAAGCTACAAAGAATGAATAAAATCTATGGCGGAGAGTGACATGGAAAAAAAACAAAGGATAGAAAAAAGAAATACTATGCGAAAACACAGGGAATTGAAACGCTGGAGATTGCAAAGGAATTGGAAAATGAGGGAACAGGAAGCAAAGGGGAAAGAGAGACAGGATCTAATAGGTGTAAACTGTTTAAAAAAAATGTTGAGGGAAGAATAGTAATTGGAAATACTGTGTGCCGACGATTTGGTAGTGATAGCTAAAAAAAAGTAAAGAGTGAATCGAAGGTTAATATAGCTAGCTGGATGAGGATTATGGAAGGGATTAAAAAAAAATGAATATAGAAACGAAGGTGATGTTTGGAGGCAAAAGTTTAGAAAAGAATCGAGGAGACAGACACGTGGCCAGGTGATATATGTGGAAAAGGCTTTGCTAGAAGCTCCACTGTACCTGCTGTGGCAAATGGGTTCACAGTAGGTGTAGTGGTGGAAAGGGAAACCTGCAGGAGGCAAGCACGAGATTTGTTTGTAGAAAGTGTATGAAAAATGTGCAAGATAATTGTAATATGATCGGTTTTTACATTAGAAATAAAATAAGTTTAAAAAAAGTATGGATGTTCTGTTATCTAGGCCATACACTTAGCGCAGGTGAAGGAGTTGACTAGGTGCAGTGGCTGCAAGGATGAAATTTAGAGAGGGGTGTCTTCAATTTTAAACAATAAAAAAATGTCACCCTGGTTTTGAAGGGAAAGGTATACGCGAGATGTATGAGAAGACCCACATAAACAACTTATCAAATTATTTGAAAATTTTCTAATGATTAAATCACAGGGAAAACTGGTCAACCTGGGGCAAACCTGGAAATCGCCATTAAATGGAGAAGAGGAAAAAGAAGATTGAAGAAAATATTGCCTCACGATTTTAGTCAGAGACCTTTGCCGAAGATCAAAAAATTTAGGCCCATGCCCGGGGCTGGTCTAGATTTTTTTTTTGGATTATTTTACGGCCCGGATTTTATGGAAAATTTTTTAGATGTATTTTTGCGAATCTTTAAAGGGAAAATGGAAGATATGAAGCGGTCAATGACATATAAATAATACATGGACTAACGATGCTTTCATTTAAAAGGTGGTACATCAATGAAAAACAGCTGGGGACGCCATTTTGGCTACCCATAATCGTTATTAAAAAAATTTTAAACGAGAGGCCAAATTTATTCCTATGTTCTGACGCGAACTTTGTTAAATTAATAGAGATGGTGTGAGGAAAGCAAGTTATCAATTTAATAAGTAGTTTTTAAACATGTGAATAATTGATATACGGGTTTACCAAAATGGCGAGTCCAGCTGATTTACATTCATCGACGCTTTCATGCATCATCATGAATGTAGACTAGGTATTATTATATGTCATTGGAAGCGGTATAAATGGCTCACTTTTTCAACCGAATTAATTTAGAATCAATTTTAAATCAATTTTTTTTTTAAAATTTTCTCGACCCAGGTTTTGAGTCTATTATTAAATATAATTCAACTCAACCTCTCGAGCGGATAATTTTTGGCTACTCAGTTAAGCCATTTTGAAGTCGGAGGTGGTAATTTTTCAAGCCCGGCCCGAACCCCATTTTTTTATCAAGCCCGAAGCCTGTTCGGACCGGACCGGGCCGGGTACGGGCCGGGTACGCAGATTTCTAGTCAGGAGGCACGGCTCAAAATGAATATATTTTACAGCTGCTCAATAATAAAAAGAAATTCTTTTTTTTTTCAAGTTTCAATTATTATTCTGAGACTTATAAAAAAAAATGAAGAATTATTATACCTTATACGAATCGGCTATATCTTTGGCATTCGTATCGAAGATATTATCCGCCTTATCGTTGGTCATTTTACGCGAATTTTTAAACAGATGATTCCAGGGTATCCACGACTTACTACTGGGAGGCGCAACTTTATTAAACATCCGCGAGCCGTTATCATTCGTTGGCTCGTTAGTTTTACTACCCGTGGATTTTAGATAAAAATTAGCCAATTTGACCCTGTTACTTTTGTCGGGTATGGCTTCCATCATTCTCTTCTCCTCGTAGGAATTCAGGATACGGACGGGTAATTTGTGGGGATTCGTCTTTATGTAAGTTCGACTTTCGGGTTTGGGACCATCGGATCGAGTATATTTGGTCTCATCTAAGGATGGGGAAGCTATTTGTTGTTGACTAGTGGTCATCTTGATTACCGGGAAACGTTCTTTATTGAAATTGTTAACTGGCTGACTATTACGATTGATCACTGCTTCCTTGACTTCCCCATGACTCACGTGATTGTTCCCATAATTGGGAGTGAAAGGTTTGGATAAATATTCCCTGTTTTCTATGCTAGTCAATACGGGCCCAGACGCGATTCCTTTGACATTATCGTCGAGAGATGTGACATTTTCCTTATCATCTGTTTTGTACAGCATGAAAGAGCTATAAGATGTAGTTGACATTCTTTTTGGATCGTCACCGTATCGCGGACTATTTATTATGGTTTGATCCGATCTCCACTTGGTAGCGGATATGAAGGCCAACGATTCATGAGCCTTACGAGAGGCGTGCATCTTACGTCTGCGCCCTTCGTCGCTAATGTATTGCCGGTCATTATTGATGACAGGCCGTGTCCGAATTTGGTCTTCAAGTTCTAATTCGGCGTACTTCACTCTACAGACAGGTTTGGCCATAGTTTTATCTTCGAGTACGATTAATGGGGAAGGAGGAAAGCAAGAAGATGAAGAATCTATTGCTTCGACAACCGGACTTTCCAAACGATTAGGTTTTGTTTCAGAACCCATTATACCTTTGATAGGTGATTGGCGTTCATATTTATAGTGATCTAAATGATTGATAGGTTGATGATGGGTAACGGGTTGCTTATATACACCGTAGTGAATATTCGACAATGCACTCAGTTCAGTTTGATTGAAGTTATCGTCAGAAACCATTATACCTTTGATAGGTGATTGGCGCTCGTATTTACAGTGATCTAAATGATTGATAGGTTGGTGATGGGTAAGAGGTTGCTTATATACATCGTAACGAATATTCGACAATGTACTCAGTTCGGTTTCATTGAAGTCATCGCGAACTTTAAGTTTCTTCGTTTTAATTGTTTCCAACTTATTTTCCAAGTGTTGCTCAGATATTACAGGGGATTGGGTTAAACAGACATGCCGATTTTGATTTGCCATCTGGACAGATGGTTCCACCGACATATTCATATCTAATTTATCGTCCCTAGTTACTATCTTTTCATGCCCGCATGTATCTATTTTAATCATTTCGTTGGTCAACGCCGATATCTCTTTTTCCAACTCCGACACCGTGCTCAAGAAAAAGTTTTTCTGGCTTTTGTTAACTTCATTTTCCCGCTTCTCGCGAATGTATCCCACCAACTCGAGTTCTTGTTTGGATAAATTATAGGCGGAGAATGTTTTGGGCATCGAAAAATCGGTTTGGATAGAGGCGTCGACGGATAATTTTCTACATCGCCTCCTGGTTATTTTGGGCGGTTTTATTGTTTTCGCGATGTTGAAGTTATCTACCCTGGAATCGTCGCTACTCAAACCCGACGAAACGTTGGAACCGCCGCTCGAATCTAGATGCGATTCGCTCCTGGAACTTTTTTTGTCTAGCCTATTACTAGTTAAAATGTTGTCGATTTCTAATTCTAGGAAACGGGCATGGCTCTTGACATCGGTTGGACTTTCGTACCCGGGAATTCTTTGAGTAATTGAGTTGGACCTTTCCAGATCTTTCTTGTACATATCTAGGATGGCTTGGGGCAAAGCGGCTTCAACTATAAGCCTAACCAAGGTATCGACGTAATTGGGGATAGGGGGATCAGACCCAACAACATAATACATATTGGGTGTCACGGATATATCCTCACATTTGACTTGATCGGGGATGTCAGACTTTACGATCGTGAATATCCTGTTTGATTGACTTTTTTCCCGATAGGGAACGGAAGAATTCTTATTCTTAAACACTTTCGAAGTCAGAGAAAACGAGAGGGTTTCAGTTGTAACGGGTTGGGAAGAGGGGTTAGGCAATTCTTCTTCAATCTCTTCTAACAATCCATAAGTCTGTTTTTTTTGTATATATATATATTTTTGAAATAAGTATACATTGAGATATTGCTTATTGTTATAATAAGAAAATAGAATAAACTTTAGTTTCAATGGAGTTCACAAGTCTCACATCGGCACATTTAGTTATTTCATCGTTGTTAGGTTTATCGTCGAAATGTGTTTCTCTATAAACATAAAATATCAAAATAGTTGATTTACCAGAGTTTGACAATATCGATAAAACATTGGGATACAAACACTATTTTTGTATCTGTTATTCGTATTTTGTATTTAATTGAATCGATAGTATTTAATATCAAATTAGTTGATTTACAATTTATAAGAATACCCAGAGTTTGACAATAGCGATTATACTTGTATTTTTAAAACATTACGATACAAACACTATTTTTGTATCTGTTATTCGTATTATTGTATTTAATTGAATAATTTCGTTAGTATTTAATATCAAATTAGTTAATTTACAATTTATAAGAATACCCAGAGTTTGACAATAGCGATTATACTTGTATTTTTAAAACATTACGATATAAACACTATTTTTGTATCTGTTATTCGTATTTTGTATTTAATTGAATAATTTCGATAGTATTTAATATCAAATTAGTTGATTTAAAAAAATAATATAAATATACCGATACAAATACTCTTAGTTTTTTTAGTATTTTATTTTATTATATTATATAAATTGAAATTAATAAAATGTGAAATTCACAATTTATTTCATTGAATATTAATTTTGTGGTACATACGTGTTGGAGAGAATAATTGAGATCTTATTTTGTCTCATTAAAATTAGCACATCCTGATATGATACGCAACTAGAAAGTAAATGGATTAGAGATCCGTAAAAGTAAGCTCGGCCTGTACCCGGCCCCGGGCCTAAATTTTTTAAAAATTAAACTAGGGTCGGGCTTTGAAATTTTTTTTCTAAATATATCTTAAATTTATCAATTTTATCATGTTTAATTTTTTATGTAAAATAAAAATATTCGATTTTATTTAACAGAAACTAGACGCCACATGTAAACACGTATCTTTTATTTTGAGTAATTACAAAAATTAATTTCTTTATTTAAATAAATTCGGGCAGGGTCTGTGAATTTTTTTTAAAAAAAGTTCGAGTTCGGGCCGGACCGGATCGGCTAAACTTTTTTTAAAAAATGTCGGGTTCAGGCCGTGCTTGAAAAATTAGGCCCGATGCAGATCAATGATATAGATTGCAATTCTAGTTAATTATAAAGTTTAGATAAAGAATATTTTTTTTAGCATAGTATATCTGTGAAAGATCTCCACATTCCCCAACAGGTCAATTTAACCATATTTGAATGAATTTTTCACATATTTATCAAAATCGATGATAAAGTAAGCAACTGTTTAGTATCATCTTGATACTAAGTGACCCCGGTCCAAAGTCCACCCCCCACCCTGGCCCGAATTTATTTATATAATATATTTAAAAAATTTAATATTTTATTTAAATTGTAAAAAAAAAAAAATAGAAAAAAATATATTCTAACAAAATAAAGAAAATATTGGCGCCCTTTTGTTTCTTTATGCAAGAATTTGAAGAAAAAAAATAAAATAATATTTTAAATATATTTCACAAAATCGATAAATTATTCTTTGAAAATTTAAAACCGACCCCGGAAAGGGTGAAATGTTTTTAAAAAGATAGGCTCGGCCTGGATCCTACTTCATTCTTTAGAAAAATTTATTAATATATATATGTATATTTAATGAATTCTGATATTCCATGTTGAAGTGATATAAATCCAGAAATGTATAGTGTTTTTTTTTAAAATTTAACCAACTCCTCCCTCAATATTACATAAATAATTGTTTATTTTTGGTGTTCAAACAACAAAATAATTGTTAATAATTGTTTATTTTTGGTGTTCAAACAACAAAATAATTGTTTATTTTTGGTGTTCAAACAACAAAATAATTGTTTATTTTTGGTGTTCAAACAACAAAATAATTGTTTATTTTTGGTGTTCAAACAACAAAATAATTGTTTATTTTTGGTGTTCAAACAACAAAATAATGGTTTATTTTCGGTGTTCAAACAACAAAATATTTCGGTTTATATATAAAAAATTTTTTTTAAACCGGACCGGATGGATAATTCAAACTTAGTAAAAAAAATGAAACCCGGGAAGTTCGGGTAAAACTTAAATTCTCACCGGATCTGCCTAAATATTCCTTCCTTCCTTCCGGTTTAATTTCTAAAATAAGTATTCGTCTAAGAAATTTGTATTTTATTTAGATACATTAGAAAAAAATTTTTTTGGTAAGGGATACTTATGTAATAACGAGTATTTGTAATTATATTTCGAATAGAATATTTCCAAATATTTGCCCTAAAGTTTACTAAATACAGCCAACTATTTAAAAATTTCGTGAACCTTCACACAGCTGAACTGGATTGATTAAATAATATTTTATGTAAATGCATGGGGTTCAAAATTTCGTGACGTTATATGAGGAGGGTCTTCTATAACTTGGCGGATTACGAATTAATTACGTCATTAAAATCTGATGGAGGGGGGGGGAAGGGGGTGTTAGTCAAACCAAAATAGCTTATTAATTTTATATTTTAGTCATTAAGGAGAGCCTCAGCGTCGCTTGCGCTAGGCGGAGGGTTGGGTTTTAGATAGCACTGGTTTATAAGTCAATGACATATAATAATACCTAACTGACGGAAAGCGTCGTTGAATGCAAATCAGCTGGAGACACCATTTTGATAACGTATATAGTTATTATTTCTCATGTTAAAAAAAAACTACTATTTAATTGATAACTTGCTTCCTTATTATCTTCTCGTCAGGTTCTTTAATAAAGTTCGCGTCACAGACCTAAGAATAAATTGGCCTCTAGTTTAAATATTTTTTTTAAATAATGATTTGGGTAGCCAAAATGGCCTCCACAGCTGTTTTTATTGATGCACTTTTAATGAATACATTGTCAGTCTAGGTATTATTATATGTCATTGTTATGAGTAGATTTTAAGTGGCATACAATTGTGCCTCTCGTAAAATAACGAACTAATATGCTAATTTATATTTGTTACGATTTACCTAGAAATGACCATTTCTATTGAGGGGCTATTCGGGTCATCTAGGGCCATGTTCAATTCGTCGCGAGAGGTCATGTGAGTTATGAATTTTCCGCCGATGCTCAAAATAATATCGCCTTCCTTTAGGATATTCTCGGATTTTCCGCCTTTCCTCACCTAAATATTTTAAAATTGTCAAATTATTTCGAAATTTTCGAACCAAAAATCATTAATAAATTACAATTACTACACTAGTTTGTGAAAAACCAGTCTGGATCTGGAGACCTAAGAGTCAGCGGCGACTCTGATTATTTAGGGTTGCTTAAAAACTACTCAAAAATATTGATACGAATTAAAGTCTATAGAAATTTTTTTTTTCTTTTTCATTCTGAGGCCAATGCTTCGAACCGGAATAAATCCTAAGAACTCCGTAAGCGAAGCCAAAACCATTTCTAAAATTCCCAGAAAACCGATTCTAACTAATTAGGACAAAAATAAATTTTAGTAACATAACCAAAACATTTTTTTTCGTCCAGATTCCAAACTCATTGATACGTATTATACACAGTGAATTCTTATTCATTCATTCATTCATTCATTCAATCATTCATTCATTCATTCATTCATTCATTCATTCATTCATTCTTTCTTTCTTTCTTTCTTTTTTCTTTCCTTCCAAAAATTTTAAGTGTAATATATCATATTTCTAAATCGAAGTAAAAAATAAATTATATAAAACATCTTAGCGACTTCCCCCCCCCCCCCCCCACCAAATAATTAATGTGAATATAATATTAAACAATAGCAAGGGAGCATAAGTATAAATTTTTGTCGCCGGGGTTTAATGGGTCCTTTAAAGTCTAAAAAGTCTGAAATGATTCAAAAATTTACCTTAAAAATATTATTTTTTTTGAAAGGGTTCTTCGAAATTGGAACTCGATCTCCTAACAACACCCCCCCCCCCCCCCCCCCCCTGTAATAGCATTTAGAAATAACCTATGGCGGGAAAAATAATGCTGGTATTTGGCAAAATTATAACCAAATATTAACATGTGACTTGGTGTCGGCAAATATTCCCATAACTTAAAAAGTATCTTATCTGGTTTAAAATGGAACGCTATAATGGGCCATGTCTGATTAATTCGTTTTTAATTAATAAAAAAAAGACGTTTTACCAAAAAAAGAGAAGATATATAAATCAACAGTTACTATGATTCAATTATATTATTATACAAACATTCATTACTTTGTTAAATCAAAGGAAAAGGAAAAATAACAATTTAAAATTAAAGGAATAATTTTTCACTCAAAAAAAAATAAACGAAAATAAAACCACAAATGTAGTAATTATTATAATTAGAACTGAAAGAATATCACAATATTTATCCTATAATACAGTGCTTCTAACAGTTAAATATAGCGGTTCGGTCCGTGTCGGTTTTTAGTTAAAATTTTGTAAAGGTTTTGTTCCATTTCGGGATTTTTTTGAAGAATTTATAACAGTTCTTTTCGGTTCGTTCCAGTTATATTAGTTTCTTCCCAAATTTGAGCCGCTATCTTTTTAGAAAAAAAACCGCCGAGATCCATAGTGATAGTTTTCGGTTATAGCCGATTTTTAGCTATAAATATGGTAGTAATTACCCGACTAATAGTCAGAAACCTATTCTTGTGATCTTAACAAAATTTTGCCATGAATTAGATCTTCGATAGATTTTTTTTGTATAAATTTTTCTAAATAACTTTTTTAAAGGTCAATGGCAAAAATGTCGAATTACATTTCGGCGTAAAATCAGATATTTAAAAATTCAAAACAAAAAAGAAGCGCTCAAAAAGATATCGATCCGAAAAAGGCGCCATAAAAAGTAACTCTAAATATAAATAGTTACAATTAGCAGTTACATTTTTTTTCAATAGTAACAAGTTAGTTATTTATTGCAAAAATATAACTACCAATAATATATATATGTATATATATATTAAAGTTTGGGTAATATTTTTTTTTTTTAAAAATAAGTGGATTTTAAAAATATATTGTATTTGTTTTTAATTTTCATAGTTTAATGTCGATTTAAATATTCGGTTTTAAAATATTCGGCCCAACCCGGCCGGATATATTTGAAAATATGTCTCTGGTTAAAATATATCGCTTAAAATAATATTCTTAACATTGGGCCATTTACTGACCCTATTGTCATCAATATCGGGATTGAACTCTTAAAGACGGTCTAATCATTAAGATTTTCCATCCCGAGAGTGTGACTCTTAAGAAAAGAGGGAACAATAGGACTGGGGTCAATTTGGGCTTCTTTCTCTAATCCAAAATGCTTAAAGCACTAATTTGTTCATTTTTTTAAAAATATTTTTTTTTTACCTTAACCTGGTTAGGATTTTTAATTCCATTTGTATGGCACTTCTATAAGGATCGAATTTCAAATAATGAATTTTAAATTATATATTTATAAAATTATATAAATTTTCGAATTTTTCTTTTATCATTTATCCCTAAATTTTTATTATATTCGTAATATATGTGTGATTTAATTTTATAATTTTTTTTACAAAAATGTATTAACAATTTAAGTTTTGAAATTTTGAATTCTTATTTAAAAAAATAAAATAAAATATATTTATTAATATATTTATTGATAAAAAAAAATAGTAAAATAAATTTATTTTAGCACTGAAAATAATATTAAATTAAATTTATTTGCATTTTTCACAATTATTTTTTGATTTTTTTTTTACCATCGATATTTTGTAAAATTTTGTAAATATTTTGTAAATTTCGTGTAATCAAATTTTCATTTTTTTTTTATTAAAAAACTTATCATCATTTTTAAAATTTAACGTGATGTGATCTATAATTTTTTTTTGAAGAAATGTAAATTTTTTTTCTTTTTTAACTAAACATTAAATTTAGAACACACATGTGTAAAAAAAAAAATAAAATTAAAATAAGATTGAAATATCAAAAAATAAAAATAAATAAAATAGATATAAATAAAATAAAATCAATTAATTCATTAATTTGAAAAAGGATTTGATTTGTAACAAAATCGATGTATAAAAATTTTTTTTTTTTTAAAGATAGGAAATGATTTAGCGTGTATAAGTTTTAATTATTTATTTTTTTTTTCCCTTTCTCTTTAAAACCAAAGAAAGGAAGAGAGATAGACGGAAAAAGAAGAAAGAAAGAAAGAAAGAAAGAAAGAAAGAAAGAAAGAAAGAAAGAAAGAAAGAAAGATAGAGATAAAAACCCTATTTTATCATTATTTAGGTGGTAGTTGCTTTTGAGCCGATTTTAAAAAATGGTTAATCCTATATTTTAGCCAAAAAATATTACGCGAGCCCTGGAGATTTGCGCTCAGAAAAAAAAATGTGTGAAAATAATGTAAAGGATAAGTGTATAATATGCGGAGAAAAAAAAATTATGAATGAAAATAGCGCGAAATTGACTACTCCCTAAAACCGCCAAAAAAATTAATATTTTTATAATTTACTCTTTTATTTATATCGGAGACATGGGGCCCGTATATTGTAAAACCAAATATTTGAAATCGTCATTATTGGCTATAAAAATCAAAAATAAATATAATATATTTTTTTTTAAAATCCGGGCCGGGCCAGGCCTAAAATTATAAAACCCGGGCCGGGCCGTATATAATTTATTTTAGAAATCCTAGCCGGGCCGGATAGTGCAAATGGTACTTTTGCAGGTCTCTGTTTAATATATTTTATTGAAAATTTAAAAAAAAAAAAAAAATTAAAATCCACTCAACTCAAAAATCTTGATATTACGATTGGAGCACCAATACTAGAATCGACATATATTCGGTATCAATAACCAATTTATTTTTTAAAAAACAGATTTTATCGGTGTAACTCCCAGAAATTTGTATGAATGCTATCTAAAATCAAAATTTTAAAAATTCCAATTTAAAAAAAGACTAACCATATTAGATCCCTGGACATAGGGATCTGATGTTAGCTAATATTTTGCTGAAGAATAAATACAAAACTTCTTTGATGTCATCTGAAATTGATTTATATATAAAATCTTATAAAAAAGGGGTTAGAACTCGCTTCTTCGAAACAATCATTTGAGTTAAGGGTGTCAATATTAAATATATATTTTTTATGTACGCAATATACCTTCGCGATTTTCATCGGGCTCTTAATGTCATGCCCTCCATGGAATCTGAACCCGTAAGGCCCCGGTCCGTCTATCCTGACCTTTAGAATGTCCTCTTTATATATCGGTATCGGAATCGCGCGAACAACGCCAGCGTCTTGTTCGTATTTCATTCATACAAAAGTATTATAATACTAATACTTTAAAAATATTTTGCCAAATGACCCCAAAATTTAAATCTTATAAAAATTAAGGTTAATTGTTATGAAGAGTTTTTTCTTGTTAGACCTTTTTTTTTTATCTCTCTTTTTAAATGATTTTATTTATTATAAAATTATTTTTTAAAAATAAGATATTTTAAAAAAAGTTTTTGATATGATCTATTAACATAGATTTTATAATAAATTTTCAAATTTGCGAAAAATTAATATAAATTAAAAAAAATTCATAATCACTTATTTTTCTAACTTAAATAATCGGTAAATTAATTCGTAACATAAGGAAAGTTTATATTTAATTTATAAAAAAATAAAAAATAAATACCTTACAATTGATTATCGAAAGGTAATTATTAAATTTTTTTTGTTATGAAAATTAATTTAGCCGAAATTAAAATAATAATAAAGGTTTTATTTATTTTTTTGTTATTTCAAAGGAAAAAAAATGATTGAAACTTTTCCTATAATCTCTAAACTATCTACTAATATATAAACGGAAATTATAAAATTGAAAGTTTTCCTTTGTGGATTATAAGAAATTATTAACTTTTTATAAAAAATCCTTTTAAATTTGGGGTGTTTTTTTTGTAAGTTCAAGTATTATTTAGGGGATTTAAACATTGGTCTACGTTTG